CAAGCCTAAATTGCATACCAATATTAATTGATATAACAGAATTCAATCAAAAGACGATTCTTCACTATTTTTCTAGCTCATAAAAATGTGACCATATACCTTAAAGGGTAACAAAAAATGAATATCCTGATCCCTTCTCGAACACGAATCAAGCCTAAATTGCATACCAATATTAATTGATATAACAGAATTCAATCAAAAGACGATTCTTCACTATTTTTCTAGCTCATAAAAATGTGACCATATACCTTAAAGGGTAACAAAAAATGAATATCCTGATCCCTTCTCGAACACGAATCAAGCCTAAATTGCATACCAATATTAATTGATATAACAGAATTCAATCAAAAGACGATTCTTCACTATTTTTCTAGCCCACAAAAATGTGACCATATACCTCAAAGGGTAACAAAAAATGTGATCATATATACTAAAAGGTAACAAAAAATATATGAATATATCTCAAAGGGTAACAAAAATTATAATCATATATTTCAAAAGGTAACAAAATTTCGGTAAAGGTTACAAAATTTGAGCAAAGGTCACAAAATCCTGGGTTAACTTTTTCACTTATCCAGATTCTAATTTTGAAGCCCCAGCATGTAATCTATTATAGTATTGAACTACATAGTACCATTTTGATATATCGAATTAATTAATTAAACAAAGGATTTTATATAAGTAATATATTGTAATTCTGTAACTATATACTATATACAAAAATGATTCATACATGTAATAGATGTAACAAATCATTCAAAAAATTATGGATGCTTACTTGTCATCTTCAGAATAAAAAATTTCCATGTCAACCCCTAAGTTATTCTAGCTACTTTTAGAACACACATACCCAAAAGTAGTTCGATCTCCCAAGATATCAGAACCAGTTTCACAAACTGATCCAGAAGCTGGTTCATCATCCCAAAATAATCCAGTTCCACAAATTGTTTCAGAATCAGATCAAGACCCTATAATTCAAAATAATCCTGATACAAACTTGGGAGATATTAGTGATGTTGTTCAGGAAGATATTATTCTTCTTAATGAATTAGGTTTATTGAATAAGGCAAAGAGTAAAAATTTTGTTTCAGAAAAATATATAAAAGGAGGATTTGCCACTCAATATCCAATACCATCAGGAGATATTATCTTTGAGGAAGCCGAAGTTGGAGATCCAGATAGACCACACCCAAGTTTATCTTCATTAACCAAATGGCAAGCAATTGTCCCATCATATGAAAACCCAGCATATGAATTTAACGTACCTATAGGCGATCCCAAAAAATATGCAGAAACTCCATACATGCCTCACCTTATGGCTTCAGCTCGAGAACAAATTACAAATGTACTTAAAGCCGAACTCCGAAGAAAAGACCAGGTAAAATCATCAATAGTGGTATATTGTAATTATATGAAAATGGAAAAGAAAGATCAAGGGGATTATAAAGTAGAGATTCCATTTTATATCCAAAGATATCATCCTGGAAAGATGCGAGCTATTCTTTCAGAACAAGATATAGATGAGCATATAACATTATCAGCTGGAGAAATAGACACAAAAATCGAAGAATTTTTAAGCAATGGATCTGAATTGACATTAGTTCGAATAGAAATGATATATATTAATGTTTATGCATATAGAAGAGCTGTTGGAGGATCTTACAAATCAACACCAAAAAGACTTGTCAATACTAAATGTACAATTAATCCAGATAACTCTAAATTAGGAGATGACAAGTGTTTACAATATGCTTTAGGTGCATACTTTGCAAGCATTGGAGGTGTGACCAAAAATTTTAACGTCTTTCCTACCTTATACCATATCTGAATATAGTTAATTTGGACGGTATTCCAATACCAACACCCATTTGCCCTAGAACCTTTCAAAAGATCGAAGCCCAAAATTCAGAAATTTCGATCAATGTATGGGAATGGAAAGAGGAAACCGCTACTCCAAAACCCGTAATTGCCAGTAAAAATTTCTTTATACCTAACTCATGCCAAGTTGCAGGATGTAGCCATCCAAGACCGAATGAGTGCATGACAAAAAGACCACATATCATTCATCTTATGGCTCTTACTGATATTAATAAATCTGAAGATACCGGTAAATATGGTCAAAGGAATCATTTTCTATGGATCAAAAATCCGGATGGATTAGTATTCAAAGATACAAAACATAATACAAAAAAGTATCTCTGCAATCGATGCTTCCAGAGTTTTCCATCAGAAAATTCAAAGAATTATCATCAAGATCATTGCTATGGATTGGGAGAAGCTTCACAAAAAGTAGACATGCCTACTAAGGATATAAATGATATCGAAAAATTCAAGTACTATGCAAGGATGATGTTTTCCCCTTGTATAATATATGCAGATTTTGAATCGAAAAATAAAAAATGTGATAAGTCATATGGTGGAAGTATGTGTAAACTTGGGGAACAGGTACCTAGCAGCTTTTGTTATTCAGTTCATTGGATTAATACTGGAGAGGTTTGGGGTTCATTTACATATCGAGGACCAAATGTCACCCAAGTATTTGTTCAAAGAATGGATAAAGAATTAGTTCGAATTAATGAAGTCTTAGTAATTAATAATGATATGAGAGATGATAAAAATAGTCCAGAATACTTAATAGCTAAGCAAAAGTTTGATGCATCTACAGAATGTTGAATTTGTAAAAAGCCATTAGATGGTGATAAGGTTTGGGATCACAATCATATTACAGGCAAATATCGAGGTTCAGCATATAATGATTGCAATCTTCAACTTTGAATTCAATCATGGAAGATACCAATTCCAATAGTGTTCCATAATTTCAGAGGCTATAACTCTCATCTAGTCTGTGAATCAGTCGGTCGATCTGTTAACGCGCACCAGATTACAGTTATTGCTGAAACTTTTGAACGATATAAAATGATGAAGGTGGGACAAATGAAATATATAGACAGTAATTAATTTATGCTATCTAGCTTGGTCAAACTTGCGAATAATTTAGGTGCTGTCAAATGCAAGGATACAGACTGTAAGCATTACCATAGAATAGATAAAGATCGATATATTGGGACTTTGAAAAATCATAAAATAACGAAACAACATTATGAAAAATTGGGATATTCACCTGAGCAAATAGCATTGGTATGTGTTAAAGGAGAACTTCCATATAATTACATTAATTTAGATAATAGATTTAATGAAATAGAGCTTCCTCCAATTGAGGTATTCGGTGGAAAGCTTAATGGAAAAATTACGCAAAAGGATTATGAACATGCCCAAAAAGTATGGAAAGAATTTGGATGCAGAAATTTAGGTGAGTATCATGATTTATATCTCAAAACTGATGTACTTCTTCTTACAGATATCTTTACAAAATTTCGAGAAACGTCCATGAAACATTATGGTCTCGATCCAGCACATTATGTATCAGCTCCTTCATTATCTTAGGATACAATGCTTAAAATGACTGGAGTCGAAATCGAGCTTTTCACAGAGATAACTATGCATGACTTTGTTGAAAAAGCTAAAAGAGGTGGTATTGCAATGGCAGTACATCGTTACTTTAAAGCTAATAACCCAAGAATGGGAGATGATTATGATCCATCTCAACTCACAACATGGATCTCATATGTTGATGCAAATAATCTTTACGGATGGGCCATGAGCCAATTTCTACCGATTGGTAAGTATAAATGGCATGCAACTAGAACAATTTTAAGTAATAGGAGAGATCTACAAATGAGATATCTCAAAACGATTCTCAAAACTAAAGCCGATGCACCAAGAAGATATTTCTTAAACATCAAAGCGCACTTTCCTAGCAAGTTACATAACTATCTTAATGACTTACCTCCAGCAGTTGAGAATGTCGCAATAAAAAAGAATCAGCTTAGTCCATGTAATACTAAGTTGGTAGAAGATTTGGATGGAGGTCGATTCTCAGAAATAAAGAAACTAGTTCCACATCTTGATCCTAGAAACGATCAAATAAATAGTTATGTAATCCATTATCAAGAACTTCAATATTACGTAAAATTAGGAATGGTTGTGGATGAAGTGACTGAGATACTTTCATTCGATCAAACTAACTGGCTTGCTCCATATATTGAATTCAATACTAAGTTACGTCAAAAAGCTGAGAATGATTTTGAAAAGGATTTCTTCAAGCTTATGAATAATTCAGTATATGGCAAGACTATGGAAAACGTTCGTAAGTATCAAGATGTTAAGATTATGGCCATGAATAATGATAATGATGAGAAGAAGTTCCGAAAAAAGGTAGGCAAACCTTCATTCAAATATGCCAGACAATTATCCAATACTCTCATTGGTGCTCATATGGGCCAGGCATCTGTAGTTCTTAATAAACCGATTATTGTTGGTGCATCAGTCTTGGGACTTAGTAAGTTATTAATGTATCGATTCTGGTATGGATATGTGAAAGAAAAATATGGCGATAAAGCCAAGCTTGGTTATATGGATATAGATTCATTTATATTTCAAATCGAGACTGAAGATATCTATAAGGATATGGCTAAAAGACCTGATATTTTCGATCTCAATGATTCCAAGACTATTGGTTTATTCAAGGGTGAATGTCCAGATAAAATAATAACTGAATCAATTTATATCCGAGCCAAAACCTATCATTATGTTATATCAGATGGAAGTACTAGATCGAAACATAAAGGAGTTAGTAAAGGAGGTATGGAAATAATGGCTAAAAATACATATCCTGATAATACTTCTCCTATGACCCAAGTATATCGAGATTGTCTCTTTGAAAATAAAGTATTCCATGCAAAGAATATAGGATTTCGATCTAAGAACCATATATTATCATTGGTCGAATCTGAGAAAAAGGTCCTCTGCTCTCTTAATTCAAAGAATTGGGTACTTTCAGATAAAATTACACCTTGGGCATATGGCCATTGGAGAATTGATGTGTATAAAAGTATGGTTAAATCAGATATGTCTCCTGAGTTAGCTGAAAAAAGAGCAATATTAGCTCAGCATCATTCGACATTAAAAAACAAGTATATGGTAAATCCAAAGTTACTTATTTAGAATGTAACCAGAATAATCGAATCCATCTTATGGCAGTGGGTTAGATTTAATGATAATAATATCTACCTAATACAAAGATTTTTTTTTTCTAATATAATAAATATCTAATTCGAAGGTTTATAGATATGATTATAGATACTAGAGTCTGAACGAAA